TGCGTGCTGCGCGCCTCGCTTCTCACTTCGTGCACCTCGCGGCCACGATATCCGTTCGTAACCGCGCGCACCGCGGCAACGGTAGGGAGGGGGAACGAAAAAAAATGTAATACCCCCGAGGAAAAAACGCACGAAGATCGCGCGTCAGAGATCACCCGCCACGCGCACGGTCACACGGACGTGTCCAACATGTCGCTGCTATAACCACTGACTGTCCACCCGCCCTGTCTGTCTCCGCCACTACCGCCACCGCCGCCGGGACTGATCGTCACTGAAAACCGCTCGGAATTCCGTCATGGCGCGCTCTACCGGCGACGCGGGGCACCGCTCGGGTGCGCAGGCGCGCACGCGCGCGCAGATTTCGTTGACGCGCGAGATTTAAATCTTGTTCAAATTTTTTCGGCGACGCACCGACGAGATTTAAAAGAGTCGGTCCTAAATTAATTTTCGCAATTATTAAATAAGTTCGATAAATCCAAAGATAATTAAAGAGCATATTATTAAATGTTGATGCAAATTTCTCAATAATTGACGTAAATATTAACGGAAAACAGCTTATAATGTGATATTAAATATTAATTATTAAATACAGATGTTTTATAATTATATAGTTATAAATAAGTATATATTTATGATTATAAATTGCTATAGAATTACATTTTTTATATTTTATAATATATATAGATAATCAAACTTAATTAATAGATGAAAATACAGCTTTAAAATCGAATGTTATCGTATTGTACATATATGTACATATTTAAGAAACATCAAAATAATAAATAAAATAAATATATTACAAACTTAATTTAATTAGCTATTATATTATTTTTTAAAACTGATAGTCTTTAATAGTACTGCATTTTTGAATAATATATTTGAATGTATTTCAATTATTTTAAGAAAAAAAATTGTTAATTGATTATGACGTTTTCAATAGATTATCAATGCGTGATCTGTACTAATGTATTCTTGCAAAAGCTATCAACTCTTTTTATAAAAATTCAAAAGGTCAACTTTAATAAGATAATGATATATTTCTAATTGGCATAACTGTCGACAGGAAAATCACTCGAGATTGAAATTAGAAGTTCATCGGATGCAGTTTGTATTTAACTTATGGGTTGAGTTCGGGGAGCGCGCTATTAGAACTATCATATCATTTCATGTTTATTGCTCATTATATATAAATTAAAGATAAAATGATGTCCTTTGTTTGTTGCAACCACGTTTGTTGCACCTATATAAATTATTTTAAATCATTGATCTCGCGCGACCGCACGTACAAAATGGCGCTGGATGACTCGAGTGAAGTATCAAAGGTCATTTACTTGTGAGATTGATAATTAATTTTTCATCTCGACGGGCACAATTAGCGGTTACACATTCCATCCACCGAATATATGCAGTTTTGGTCGTGACACGTCCTATCCCCGGACGGATTCTTCGGCGAGGAGGGAGACATGAATACATTATGGAGGTTGTATTTCAGATATTTTCATTGTTCGCTGAATTTTTTTGTTGATCGATATGTTTCTCGAAATGGCATACTGCGTATAATTGTATACATTAATCTCGAAAATTATTGGCAAATATATTGGCAATTGCAGCTGAATTTTTACAGTACAAAGACCGGAGGTAACCTAAAAAGGTGTCAAATGTTATTCGTAATGAGATTTATAATATTTTTTTTTGTATACATGAGAGAAAAATTAAATCATTACGTAAATTTTAAAACGTCGATATGTCGATGATAGTAGATAATAATATCTTATATTTTACAAATAAACAATATTAATTAGAAATATCATTATCTTTCAAAATCTGTCTTATATATACAAATATTTCTGATTGTGATAAAATAGATATTTACATTAATCTATTTTGACAATAAAAATTGGAATTCTTCTTTAATAAATCAAAAACCTCACTATCAAAATGGAAAATTGATAATGATTTTAATTAATATTTTTTATTTTACTTGTTCAAAAAATAATTGTACATGAAAAAATATGTTTTATATATTTTTTTTGAGAAAAAAATTATAAAATTAAATATATATATATATATGTATATTTATTTGAAATATACTAATGATAAAATATATTAAATACAGGTGTTAGAATTATTTAATAAGTTCAACGAGAATCTGGGATCATATATATTTTCAAGATGGATTGGAAACTTTATAGAGGAATACCAGACATCAAGGACAATCTTTATTATTGCTACGACTTTATTCCTTATTTTCTTAATTGCATCCATTTTTGTGCTACGCAAATGGAAGAACAAAGAATTCTTGCCAGAGGTAAAGGAGTTTGTTGGGGTAGGCACTGGAAAGCCAAGATTCAGAAAGAGAGACAAAGTTCTCTTTTATGGCAGAAAAATGTTGCGCAAAGTGAAATCCATCGGTGGTCAAGTACATGCTACTGGACAAGGGAAGAAGAGAAGAGCAGTTATGAGATTTGCTCGTCGATTGTTGCAACTTAAAAAGGAAACTGCCCCACAACAACTTAAAGTATATTTCATAACAATTAAGCAATAAGTACTGCTTTTATCTGAGATGTCTAACTAAACAAATTATGTTTAATAACAACAATATTATGTTTAATTTTAAGGTATTAGAACCACCGGCTGAATATCTGGAAGAAGATTTGGGGCCTGGTGAGAGAGTACCACCAGATGCTCTATATATGTTGCAAAGTATTAGAGTTTTTGGCCACTTTGAAAAACCTGTGTTCCTAAAATTATGCAAATACACAGAAATTATGAATTTACCTGCTGGCAGTACTTTGTTCAAAATTGGGGACCCCGACGAGAATTTATTTATAGTACAGCAAGGTTTAGTCAATGTATATATTACTGGACCTGATGGTTCTCAAATATCATTGAAAGTGGTCAAAACAGGTGAATCAGTTACCAGTCTTCTTAGTTTTACCGATGTACTTACTGGGCATACAAGTACATACAAAACTGTATCAGCAAGAGCTGTAGAAGATTCTGTTGTAGTGAAGTTACCAATGAGCGCATTTCAAGAAGTGAGTTACATATTTATAAATTGTCTTACAAGATAGAAAAATATGTAAAAAAAGATTAAAGACAGTTCTACTTTTTAATTATATTATTTTTCTTTTTATATATTATATCTTTCATATATTATCTTTCAACATTCTACAATATTATATAAACTAAAATTAATATCTTATATATTATGTAAATCAATATTGATATTTTATTTCAGGTATTTCAAGATTATCCTGACGCCTTTGTTCGAGTTATTCAGGTCATTATGGTACGTCTGCAGAGAGTTACCTTTACTGCTTTGCATCAGTATCTTGGTCTTTCCGCGGAATTAGTTAATCAAGGATCACATAAGAAGAAGCAGAGTCCCTTTTCTGGTTCACCAGTACGGTCAAGAACTAGAGAGAATTTTGCTTCACAGAATACTGAGATTATATCTAGTGCATTACCGATTGGTGTATCGGAAATACATGATACTAGTGAGATTTCTAATCGCGACGCATCTAATACAAGTAGTTCTCAACCTGTGCCTATAGTCATGAATCGACGGTAAGAAATTTTTGAGATTAAATATTGACTAATAATATCTCTTTTAATCAATATATTAAGTAGATTATAAGTGAATTTTGTTAAAGTAATTAATCAGATCAAGTATTTGAAATGATTTCATGGCAGGGCGAGAAATAGTATTGATTGGAAGAATCAGGGTCCCAATTTGCCAGGCCCGAATTCGCCAGATATGGTACCGGAATGTGATTCTCATTGGCCAACTCCACCTACGGCTCAGTCCACGCATGGCTCACATCCGGAAGTCTCTCATTCGGGAAGTACTTATTCTAGCAAAAAGCGTCAGGTCAACGAAGCAGTGCAACAACAGCAACAACAGCTGGATGAAACACAGCTTGTGCAAATAGCTACTGACGCTTTCGTTCGTGAACTCGGTATAGAGGATGAAACAGTGCTTAAAGACAAGGTGCAGATCAGGGAAGTGCCGGCTGGTACTTACTTGATGAAAGAAGAGTCTCATAAAGTATGCCGTTTTTCATTTACCAAGTACCAATAATTATATATGAAGAAAAAATATTTTTTTATAAATATATAAAAGTATTATTCAAACTGAATTGCATTACAGGATGTCGCGCTTGTGTATGTGCTTTCGGGTTCACTGATAGTAAGTCAGCGCGTATCGGAGGGTCGAGATGCTGGTCAAGAAGTACATATGTTTAGCGCTCATCAAGGTGAAATTGTTGGTGGTTTAGCGGTATTAACCGGTGAACCATCCTTTTATACAATAAGAGCAAAGCATGCCAGTCGTATTGGATTACTTAGTAAATTGACATTCTTCGCCATTATGCGTGATCAACCTACGGTTGTATTGCACGTGGCACATACCGTTGTTCGTAGATTAAGCCCTTTCGTAAGACAGGTAAGAATCTGTAAAACAAGAAACTTTTATTATTATCTATATTAAAAACTTAATATTTGACAAATATATTGTTATTTCTCTTTCTTAAATAGGTGGATTTTGCTCTCGACTGGTTGTTTCTTGAAAGCGGACGAGCCGTTTATAGACAAGGGGATGAATCAGATTCGACATTTATTGTATTGAGCGGACGTTTACGATCGGTAATCACTTATAAAAACGGCAAGAAAGAACCAGTAGCAGAATATGGAAAGGGTGATTTAGTAGGAATCGTAGAAATGGTTACGCAGACTCCAAGATCGACAACAGTTATGGCGGTTCGAGATTCCGAACTAGCAAAACTGCCGGAAGGTTTATTTAATGTGATTAAACTCAGATATCCCATTGTTGTCACAAGATTGATAAATCTTCTTGGCCATCGCATACTCGGTACCTGGCAACAAGCACACACGAAAAATGGAAACAATGATACTCAGTAAGTATCATATATCAAAAGTAGTAAATAATTGACTAAATTGTTACTTTTTACATAAATCGAGATTTTATAGATATGATATTATTAACATGAATTGATTTTTTTTAATTAAAAATCGCCTTTATTTTATAGACGAGCGGCTGCAACTGTTGATGCTAGACCCGCGCAAGTAAATTTCTCAACTGTTGCTATAGTACCCGTATCGGATGATGTACCACTGACTGCGTTCACTTACGAATTATATCATTCTTTATGTGCCATTGGATCTTGCCTCCGTCTAACGTCAGATGTTGTAAGAAAGGTATTATATTTGCTTATCTTGATCATTATTTATCTTAATATAGTTTAATTATGAATATAAACAACTTAAACATATATTCTTAATTTATTAATTTGGTTATTTTTTATTTTTAATAAAAAGGCATTATTGGATATTAATTTAATCGATTTCTCGAAAAAATTAATATTTCAATGACATATGTTATTATAATCTTGTTTCTTTTTCTTTGTAGACTTTAGGAACAACTATTATGGAGCCTGCGAACGAATATCGGTTAACTTCTTGGCTCGCGCAGCAAGAGGATCAACACAGAATTTCTCTGTACCAATGTGATTCAAGTTATACACTATGGACTCAACGGTGCGTGAGACAGGCTGATTGCATTCTTATAGTGGGTTTGGGCGATCGACCGCCATCGATTGGTCGAACGGAACGCGAGATAGAACGACTAGTAATGCGAACGCAGAAAGAACTTGTGCTATTACACAAGGAACAGAATGGTCAAGGACCCACAAACACCGTTCAGTGGTTGAACATGAGATCATGGGTATCCAGTCATCATCATATCCAGTGTCCAAAACGGATGTTCACTAGAAGATCGCAATATAGAATTGTGAGCGATAGTCGATTAAGAGATTCATTCTAAATACAATCTCTTTTATTTTATGTCATTAGTAAAATAAAAAATATTTAGTACTAATACTAATCTAGTACTAATTTTTAAAAAATGTTTATTTATGAATATTAATAAAATAAAAATATAATGATTACTTTAAAATTTAATCTGGAGTACGTTTCAGAATGAATTGTATTCCAAAGTGCTCATGTCTGAGCCAAACGTGCACAGCGACTTCAGTAGACTGGCACGATGGCTGACCGGCACTTCGGTCGGTCTCGTCCTAGGCGGAGGTGGTGCAAGAGGTGCTGCTCATATAGGCATGCTCAAAGCTATCATCGAAGCAGGTATACCCATAGATATGGTCGGTGGTGTCAGCATTGGTGCCTTTATGGGTGCATTATGGTGTATGGAGAAAAACATCACTACTACCACGCAAAAAGCTAGAGAATGGTCTAAGGTGAGACAAAGCGAACTCCATGATTCGTATTGTGTATATTCTTATGTGTATATTCTTATCTATATTCATATAATCTATATTCATATTTGTGTATATTCTTATCTATATTCATATAACTTTTAACACCTTAAATTTTCAAGTATAATAAGTGCAAATTTACAGTGCAGAATTATAACTCTTCTTTTCAACATCGCAAAATCTATAGATCTATTTTATTTATCTATTCTATCTATTTATTTTTTTCTCGTAATGATTTGAAATTATTTTGTTTTTGTCGTTAATTTAAGAAAGGATTGTATATAAAAGTACCATATTTATTTGCTAATAGAAAATGACGCAATGGTGGCGTCAAATTATGGACTTGACTTACCCAATGACTTCAATGTTCTCCGGTAAAGATTTCAATAAAACGATACAACAGACTTTCGGCGACACGTATATAGAGGATTTGTGGCTCCCATATTTCACTATAACCACAGACATCACGGACTCTTGTATGCGCACGCATAGACACGGTCTGTATAAATATAATGCCTTGCATTTTTTATTCTAAACATTGAATTGAACAAAGCTTCTTGTTTTGTTTAACTTTTGTTTAATTTTCGTACATTCGTTCACTAATTTTACCTATTTATTTTAATTTTTTAATTTAAAATAAATGCTATTTATTTATAATAAATTTTTTTATGATTTTAAGGATTTATATACGCGTGCGCGAATTTTGATATATGATATAATAAATTTTTTAGAAATATAACTGGAAGCTTTGATAACATTAAAAACACTTGCAGACTCAGAGTGAATCAAAAAGTAAATACGTGAAAGATGTTTCATTTTATAAATAGTATCTAAAACTATTTGTCTTGGCAATCGATTTTGGATGCCTATATTAAAAAAAGAAACATGAGAGAGCGTTTTTTTCTTGATTCACACTATAGCTTTGTCGTGGCATGTAGATTTTTGTTTTAGATGCACATTATAGTATAAATTATAGGAGTAAAAACTTTTAACGGGAGCGAGCTTTCCGGATAACCATTGTTGACGTACTCTCCGTTTAACGTCGCTTTTAAAGAGAAAACCGAACGAGATAATTTATTTATTTTTATGTATAAAACAGATGTAAAAAAAATTGTTAATTGATGTGCATATACTTCCTGTATGCTTATTATTGAATTGCAATATCAAAGAAATACGATATTAATTAATTATAAAACATAAATATTATTTAGAAATTAGAATATAAAGTACAATATACTATTAATTTTTTTAGCTATGAAAAAAAATGAAAGAAGAGAAAAAAGCGTTCAATATGAACAAAACATTTATATAGAGGTTTGATTTCCGGATATCGAAGATTTACATAATGATTGATTATATTATTAAAATTTTTCTTGTAACTGACTCGTGTAAATGTTGGTGATAATCTCAGACAATTAATTTCGATTATCTTTTCTCGTTATATACACACATACACATATATACACATTGTACGTATACATACGAGAAAGTTTATTTAATTACGTTGTTGTTCATTTACTGTGTTATTACACTTAATATAATTTAAGAATACAGGAAGTACTTCGAATGTATACGGGCAGAATATTAAAGAAAATGATTCGTCGTCTTTAGGATCGCTGTGGCGGTACATTCGGGCCTCGATGTCATTGTCTGGTTATATGCCACCCATGTGTGACCCTGTCGATGGCCATCTCCTGCTCGACGGCGGGTACGTCAATAACCTTCCAGGTAATCCAGATCGCACTGATAGTCAACTGCAGTTTTCGCACAAATGGAGAACCTAAATAAAAAACACTAAAACGTTAACAATGGTGTCAAAGATAATATGAAATTTAAAGCATTACCGGAAATTATGCACTTTTTTATATTATATTGATTATATCAAATTTATATATAAATTCATATCAATATAATTTTACAAATTCACAAAAATAATTTAAAAATTTGATGAAAATTACATTGATCGTATTTGTTTTCCAACGAACATTAACTCTTTTTCAAAATTTAATCACATTGATCATCTAATTTTAGTTTGATTCTATATCATTTCATATTTATCTTGGCACGATATTGAAGATTTGTTTACGACTGTTATTGAAATATGAATTCATGAGAAACATCAAGCTCACTCCCGTTGATAAAAAAGATGCAATTATCGAATTCTGAATAGTTAAGTCCGCTTAGGTTTACTATGGAGATATATTCGCGGCAGCATGAGTATCGCGGGGGTCTTTCCTCCGATTTGCGATCCCCTTGACGGGCATCTTTTGGTCGACGGGTGTTATGTTAATAACGTGCCAGGTATTCGCCTTTATGTTTAATCGTGATTGTAATCTCTCAATATAACTCTTGATAATCTTAGTCATGCAATTCGCATCATTTATTCGATTAAAAAAATAGAGCATGATATAAGACATAGCAATAGAAAAATAGAAATAATGTATCTAAAAAAGGAGTAATATAATTCCGTAAACAAAATATATAATAGACATAAATTTTATAATTTTTTTCATAAATTAAATCTTTTACGATGTTGAGACTGCAGCGAGGTAACGTTCTTGATTCGTGCATTTCCCTTGTTTTCGTTTAAGCTGACGAAATGTTGCGGCAAGGAGCACATCACATTCTGGCCATCGATGTCGGTTCGCAGGATGACACAGACTTAACTAATTACGGGGACTCGTTGTCTGGTTGGTGGTTATTGTGGAAACGATGGAATCCATTTGCCACACCCGTAAAGGTGCCAAACTTACCAGATATCCAGTCCAGACTAGCGTACGTGAGCTGCGTACGCCAGCTGGAGGAAGTGAAAAGCTCGGATTACTGCGAGTACATTAGGCCGCCAATTGACAAATACAAGACTCTTCAATTTGCCAATTTTGATGAGATTAAAGATGTAGGCTATCAACACGGTGAGAAATTTATGTCAAATTCAAATCCATTGTAAAGACTATCCATTATAAATCACTGCTAATAGAAAGCATAAAGTATATAATATAAAAATATTAATAAAATTTAATAAATTAACAATTATAAATATAATGAATAAAAATTTATATACTTAAGTATATCTCGTAAAACAAATCGTGTTTCTCAGGAAAAACGTATTTCGAGGGTCAATCGAAAGCCGGAGTTCTGCCTCGATTCAATGCGGATCGAGAAAATGCGAGAGCTATGCGAGCGAAGCATCAAGCGGCTAATCAACAATCACCCTCTTCATACACTTTCACCGATCTTGCGCAGATGGTGTGTAAAGTTTCGCGTGGTAATCGATACGTCGATCTCGACATAGATTCAGATTCGGACGAACTCGAGGAATACGAAGCGGATCTAGAAGAAGATGCACAAGAAGTAGGATACGCATCTGAACCCACTGCCGGTATTTTAGATCAGGTGATATATCTTCTATTATTTATTTTGATCTAAGAATATATATATATATATAGAGAATAGAGAGAGAATAGAAAGAATATATCTTTCTTATTCTTTCTTCATTTAAAATAGATTGTTTCACTTTTTAAGTCATTTTGTATATTAATTGTATATTAATAATTTGAATTGAGAAATAAAAAAAGTCTCTGAAATTGTGATTAAGCATATATACTGTAAATATAATATAAAACTCAAAATAATTACTTTTCATATATTATAAAATAGTAAAGTTTTATTAAATTTTTTTGTAATGATTTACAATTATATTCTGTTTTAGAGCCCCGAGGATAATCGCCTGAGGCGGAGAACTGGCGTTTCACTTAGTCTATCTGACACCGAGGCAGAGTCAGAACTAGAATACCATCCAAAGATCTTTTGAAGACTTGTTTACAATTATTCATAATATCGTATTTTACTGCGTTCAACAAAATAAATTCAGCACAATTTTTTCGCAGATATACAACTTCACAATTCGTATACATTGACATTACGCGTGATTTATATACTTCAAAGTACAAAAGCAATTCTTGCGAAAAATATGATCATGAAAATGTCGCTCTGAAATTACATCACAATGTATATCACTTATAAATAATTGTTATTATTAAATATATGTTAAATATATAATTCTATTTCTAAAAAAAATTTTTTTAGCATTATAATCTATTATAATCTTGCACATGTCCTAATATATCAGGTCTCATATCTTAGAATTATTTTGTCATGGTTATTTGGAACGTAACTCAGTATATAATTTTGGACTTAAAATCGATACATATCAGTCTATTTACATGTATTATCTTTCCTACTTTTCACCTTGTAGTTATCTTTTCACAGCTTGCAACAATCAATTTCAGAGACAAAACTAGTCTGAAATTGTTAGAAGTTTTTGATGTCAATATTGTTTACAAATATATTATTACTATTATATTTAAAAATACAGTATTATTCTTATTAAAAATACACGAATGTATATAATAAAAATCCAATTTTATATATATATATAAATTATATACACATACATACGTTATACATACATACACATCAAAAACTTTTAACAATCTCATTACAGAAAGAGCTACAAAGCGAGAAGTAGACAATCGATAGACGTAAGCACGAATCGATATCAATTCTAACTCCAAAATTATAAATTTTGGCCAGTACCGACTTACGTGTGCTTGTGCTAAGCATTATAACAAATCGAATTTTAATATTTTATGTTAAAAATCACTGGTCATTGTTAAAGTGGGATCAAGAATGGTTAATAATGCGCCAATTAAATGTAAGGATCCTGTTACAAGTACCTCTACTTTATCCTGATTGATCGTTTGCGATGGTATATGCCTCTTAATATCATGAAGCACTTCGGCGATGCTATTCTTCATCACTGAATTCTTGCCCCATAACTCGCAGTGTTTCTTACACTGTTTTCTTTGCTTTTCGATCGATGCGTAATCCGATAAATCCTCCACACTAGTCACTCCGGCGTAATTTGGAGCAAAGTAAACTTTATCAAAGTTCAAAGATTTCAGCAACTTTAAAAATTCTAAAGAATTCCGGTCGCCACTTATATTAAATATTAAGAATTTGCTAGAAGTTCCCCGGCTGACTCTCTTGAACCACGATATACAGTTAACAATACTTTCGATCGTGTGAGCGCCGTCCAGAAAGAAATCTACTGTGTTAGTTCTTAGAATCTGTGTGCGTCCTGGCCACTTGCAATTCGCCAATGCTGTTGCAATCTTGTTTAGAGAAATAATTTGGGATAAATCATTCTTGTCGTTTATGAAATTATTATGAAAATCTTTGACATATTTATTATCCAGAACTGACTGATTGTTATGTGACTTCATCCATTCAAATGCCAAATTAATCGATAGCAGAACATTCTGTTGTTGTACGCCATTAACATCGATGCCTGCTAACGAAAAAACATCAGTCCACTCTTTATCTTGAAGATTAGAAACCACTCGTAAATCACATTGTCTCTCTATAGCTCGATTTTGTAGAACGCGCATTGCCGATTCTGGTTGTGATACCGTGAAAGCTGCTGCATATGGCTTAAAGATTCCCGATTTCTGGTAAGCGATTTCTTCCAGCGTGTTACCTAGCAGCGAGGTATGTTCCAAACCTAAGCTCGTCACACCCACACAAACCGGATTTCGCAAGACATTGGTGCTATCCAGTTCACCACCAATTCCAACTTCAATAATCGCTACATCGACATTCGCCTCTAGGAAAACATGGAACATAAGAATTGTTAAGAATTTAAAATAGGTCGGCATATCGGATTCATATTCTCGTTCTTGTTGCAGGCGTCGATAAACATTCCAAAAAGAATGGGCGAAGTGTGACTGACTGATAGGCTCGCCATTTAGGCGGATTCGTTCCCGTACAGAGACCAGATGTGGCGAGCTGAAGAAACCTGTGCTGAAGCCATGCTGTCGAAGGATTGCCTCTGTAAATGCACATGTCGTACCTTTTACCCTTGGTGCCAGTTACA